CACAGAGTCCTCCTATGCTGCAAGAGGCAGTTCTCCCTCCTATTACACCCTGTGGGGTCTCCAGGAGCGTCCTCCCAGCTGGTGATCCTCCCGTTCTCTCCCCCACTTCCACGCCAGCGCCTCTTTTTATTTCCCCCGTCCAGTTTCTGCCACTCCTCTTATCAGCTGGCTGCAGCTTTATAAAGGCACGGCTAACGAGCCACCCGGGTCCCACCGCCATTTCCAGCTTCGCCGCGGCTCCTGCTACAAGTGAGGGATTTTCTGTTTTTTCCTTTTTTCTTTCTCCTTCCCCGACGCGTTCCTGACCCCAGGATTCCGCCCTAGCTCCTCGGGGTCTGTCCCTCGGTTCCTCCCCACGACACCCCACTGTAATCACCAATCTGAAATATAGTCCTCAGATAACATTTTAATAAATGTTGTCAGATATTATTTTTATACCTGATAATTGGTTTTTTAGTATACTCTAGTGTGTGTGTGTGTGTGTGTGTGTGTGTGCGCGCGCACACACACACACACACATACTATGTATATGCCTGGAGATATGAATATGATTTGGTTTCTTTTTTTTACTAGTTATAAAAATATTTCAAAAGCGTATTTGCAATCTTAAGGATGCATTTATTGATGTTTAAATAGACATTTCAAAAGTCATAGTTTTGCTTACTCAAATAGAAATTCCATGTGCAGGAAATATTTGGGTTTTTTAGCCCTCCCTTATACAAAAGTCATGTTATTTTGGGGGCAGAGTGTACCAAATACTTCCTCTAGTCAGGCCACTAAAGATTCCCATTAACATCTGTAGAAGCAGGACTTGTCCTGACAATTACTTTTTATTGTAGAACTTATAAATATCTCAAAAAATAGCTATTTTTAGCATCAGTCCTGACATAGCTTACTAGAACTGGCACATGAGCAGTATACATTTATATCATACAATAGTGGCATTCAAATCATCAGCATTTGTAATATGTTTTGCAGTTACTGAAGTGAGTACAACAGCTTGCTACAAGACTGGAAGGGCTTTCATTTCAATACTGAAGTCAGTCATTATAGAGGTTATCATTTTCATGCTCAGAAATTCATGTCATTTTCATAAATCATTCATTTCATTTCATAAATCATGCCTTGCAGCAGCAGCAGAATGGGAACTTATTGCTGGACATTGATGAAAATCTTGTTTCGGTGACTCAGGTAAGGTTGTGACACTAAAGATGCTATAAGGAAATGTAGCTAAAATTGCTACTAGGAGTAACACAATTTGAAAACTTTCAGTTCAGGATTAACTGTACCAGGATGTAGTTAATGCCGAATATGAATAATTTAATGTAAAAGATGGAAAAATTCAACTATGTAGACAGGCTAAAAGTAGTATTAAATTATGGAAACAAAGGGTAGGAATTGCTGACCAAAACCTGATGTTATAAATGGATGAAACTCTTCGTACTTAAAAAGGATCTGTATTCATTCACACTGGCAGAGAAACAGGTTAAGACCAGAATGCAGGATGTCACAGCCAGATCCTGAGATTTGGATGGCCTTTAAATGCAGATCCTAAGATCTCTACTCAAATCTTTCTTAGTAAATAGTATATGAAATTATTTTCCTACTTATTTTTTAGCTCCTTGGGCCTTGGTGTATGCAAGATTGCTATTGCATGAAAATTAATTCTCCTATGAACACATTACTCTTCTGCTGGGGCATTACAAATAGGAATTTATAAAATAATCAATAAAAAAAAGTTAAGGCCATTCCATCTTGCTCTGTCCAGCTGTTGGGCCTCCATCACTGTTGTACCAGCGTCCTTGCCAGGAGGCAGATGGTATGATCCTACTGCATGGGTGGATGCAGGATCATAGCGGCAGGGCTGTGGTCACACCACCCTTGGCTATGTGTGCCTACACAGTGAAGAGTTTCTTATGAATGTGCCACTCAGCTGAAGGGGGTATGACCACAATCCTTTGCTGTGATCTTGAATGTCAGTGAGATCTCTGGCATATCACCACATCTCCTGCTGGGAGCTCCAGATTTGCCACGGGCTTCAGAGCTCATCAACTAGTCAGTATGGGGGTCTGTAACAAGGGGCCTACTCGGGGCCAATCTCTCTGTGGCCCGCCCACCTGTTCGTGGGTTAACTGCCCACGTTCTCACCCGCCATGCCTTGTTGTTAATATTTAATTAGTAGATGTTAATAAGCGGGAAGCTGCCCATTTTTGGCCCTGATGCCAGGGGGCGCTGTCTGCGGATCCTTTCCTCTTCTACACCACAGCCCAAGCCTCGCAGATGGCATCTAGTTGTTCTCATCATCACTGGCCCCCCTACACTGGGTCCCCAAATCCTCCTGATTGAACCCCAACCTAGAGTCTTCTCATCAGGCAGCCTCATCCACCTTCATATTGGGCAGCATAGCTCCCTGACCCACTTCCCCTTCCAGGTGTGGTCCCCCCACTGGGACCTTCGGCTCTCTAGCCCTGGCCCACCTCCAGGCCAGTCGAAACCCCAGGCCCTCAGCTCTTAGGCATTCCTCACACTGGGCCTCCGGCCCTTTGACCTTTCCAGTCCTGGCCCCAGCAGGGGCCAGTCAGGGGAAGTTCAGACAGGCATTGGGTCTATGTCCCTTTTCTCTCTCCAAGGGTCCACTCTCTGGGCCCTCCAAAAGCAAGGGGTAACCCACCCGGTTGTGGGGGCTAGGGGTTAAGGCACCCCAACCACCTTTCACCGGGGTGCTAACTGGCCTGGCATTTCCTGGGGGCTCCCACACCACTGGGAGCCCCACCAAGCCACTCCTAGCAGGGTGCAGTTTTAGGTCATGCCCAGGACCAGGAGCCTCCTTACCAACCCCTGCAGCTTCTCTCTTACCTCCAGATGATACCAGCAGCCCTCTGGCCAGGCAATGTTGTTGCCTGGCCTCCAGCAGCAGAGCTGCCCTGATTATATGGGCAGCCCTGAATCTAAAATGGCTGCCCTAATCAGGCACCTGGCAGCTGCTGCCTTCTTGCCCTTAAAGTGTCAGGCACCAACAATGCCCTGCCACAGGGTCTATCCAGAGAACCTGCTTTTAAGCATCTCCAGACCCTGCTGCTGTTTGCTCTTCTCCTCCCTCCTTTCCCTCTCCTCTCCCTCCCCCCCATCTCTGACCATCACCAAAATTCATCAACAAGAGAAACAAAGAGACAGGAAGTGGTGAGACCTCCAGAACTGCATGCAAGCAGGGGCTATGTGTCAGTGCTGGCCACTTCTCCCCTCCTTCCCTACTGCTGTGGGAACAAAGGAGAGGAAGAGTGAGCAACAGCAGCACTGCAGAGCTTCTTAAACGCAAACCCTGCTCTGACCAACTGATGAGCTCACAGTGCTCACATACATGCAGAGCTCAAAGCAAGAGCTGCCCTGGCATGCTGATAAACTCTGAGCTTGCAGTGCGTGCCATGCGGAGTCAAAGGGGGAGTGTGTGACCACATCACAATCTCCCTCTGGACCTGCCTCTGCCCCAGTCTTGAATTTCCATGAATTTCCACATCCTATAGCACTTTGAATCATCAGGGGACTGATCCCATGGGCCAGTAAGCACCCAGTGAAGTAGATCAGCTGTGCTGAAACGTATTTTGGTAATGTCTGTTTATAGCCTACATAAAGTTTGGCTGTTGTCACAAGACACCTCCAGGAGCCGCAGGTAACAGTCAGCATGAAGTATTATTATTCAGACTTTTCTAGACATTTGTAAGAATAAATGGCCGTGACATTTGCACACAGAACACACTGACTTACTCAGCCCTTTGTAAAAGTTGCTTCTAACAGACTTTCATATTTAATGCACTAAAGAATAAAGGAAACAAGTTAAAAAATGAAGGGTTCTAATCTTCTTCCCATACACATGGGCAAATCCCATTCACATTCGTATTATAAGGCCCCGCGAGGCATTCAAGTAAAGGCATGATAGGATCTGATGTGTGATCTGCCATGCCACATGTGCATAGCAGGAGGTATGATTGTGGGATCTAGCATCAGATCCAATCATGTCTTATTGCCAGTGCAGAAGGAGCCTGGGATTATGATTCTGAGCCCCCTGCCCTGGCAAGTGGCAGCCTCCCACATCTGGGAGCCTATGAGAGTATAAGTTTTTTGTTGTGATGCTTTAGTGTATGAGGAAAGGAGAATGATATGATTGGTATGTTAGCTGGTAAGGGAAAATGGTTAAAACCAGAATCCCAGTCTAATTAATTGTTCAAGAATTATCAGAATATAATTATGTTCCACAAAAAGTAAAGAAAAATTCTTGCTTTTTTAAATAAGTGTTTTCATACTTGTTGTGTTTTGGGGGGTTTTGCAATAAAATATGAAACAGCATATATTTTGTTTTTACATTTTTTACCATAAGGTTAGAAAATTTTAGCGGGAAAAATAATTTCAAAAAGCAAACAAATTGAACTATCTCTATAAATTGTTATTTTTATTTTTCTACTGACCGATTTATCACATCAGGTTGATAATGATACAGTAATTCATACCGCATGGTTACAGGAGTAATATGCCTTTATGAAATACATCAGGTATTGTTCGGTATTGTATAAATCCCTCAAAAAATAAACGCATAGCGTATGCTGCTACGATAGTACTCCAGAAACAGATAAAGTAGCTGTTTCAGAGAAAATTGTTTAATGCCAAATAAACTATGAATTTTTAGCAGATTAAAGCAGAAGAAATCACTACAGTTTGTTAGATCACTATGAACCATGCTCACAATATTTTAGCTTCTGCTTAGCAAGGGGCAGCAGGTTAGGTTACAATCTGAAGAAGCAAGACTTCTTCTGAATTCCTTGGACAAAAAACTGTCTCTGGCACCCTCCCCAATCTAAATTTCTCTCTGTAAGAGAAGACAACAGAGGGAAAATATCTTTATTTTGAACATATCAATTCTCCATGTTTATTAATTGTTTTCACTGTGCTGCATGCATCATCTGTGCTTCTGCTCAAGACTAAATAGCAATATATTCTTCTTTTTGCAGGCTGTTACCCAACTAGAGCTTTTTGGGGACATGTCCACTCCTCCCGATGTAACCTCTCCCCCAGTAAGTACCCAGGGGGAAAAGTCCAACTCTTTTTACAGTTCCAGTCATCCTTTTACCTTGCTTAAAAATGTCTGGATCCAAAGACGTCCAAGAGGGGGGAGGGGGGCAGGGTTTCAAAATGTTTTTCAAGTCATAGTAAAGTACAAGTAAACTGTGAATCAAATAAAGTAGAGGGGGTGAGAGGGATTCCTTTTTTGCCCATTACTGCTCCTCTGTGATGTTACTGGTCTTTTTAGTGAAAAAAGGTGGCCTACTATGGCAATGCCGTAGGTGGCTGTAGTCTTGCATTTCCTTCCTATGTGCTCTGTTGTCCTCTCTAAAACACAGCATCCCAGTCCTGCAGTTGCAATAAGAGGAAGAATCTCAGTGCCAATTACAGCCTTGTGTGAAATCACTTTTCAGTTACTTTAAAGATGACATCCAAGCACTACAGTTAGAGAGAGAAGAAGAATCTAAAAACAAAGGAGGAAAGTGCAGATGATATTTTAAACAGAAGACGAGCTTTGGATAAGCTTTCTGCCTTTTAGTCAACAAGAGTGTTTTTCCAAGTCACTTTAAAGTTTCTCAACAGATTGTGAGCTTGGGGGGTATTAACAGGCATCTTATCAGACAGGGAAGCCGCAACACTGAAAGGATAGCAACTTTTGCAGAACTTTTTGCTGCTGCCAGAAATAAAGTTTGGCTCTCCTGACTCCTAATCCGTAGCTTTAACAACTAGATCAGGCTTCTGCTAACGTTTCTATCAATGTGCTGCTTGTGTTACTTGTGTTTTCGTACGGAGCTGTATCTCTCCCTTCTGCAAGTCCTCACCCCATATGGAGCTATCGTGCAGGACTCGGTTTCAATGGGGCTGGGTTTTTCCAGCCACCAGATCAGTCAAATGCGCACACACACACACTCACTCTCTCTCTCTCTCTCTCGTGATATGCCTGACCCGACTGGGTTGATCAGCATGGACAGGCTGACACCCTCAAATGCCAGGAATCAGTTCATTAAGGTAACAACAAAATGCAGTCAGACACAAGCACACAGGTGAACAGAATACCTCTGAATCAGGCTGGGAGTCATGCGGGCGGGGGCATGGTCCAGCATGCAGATCATTAAGTCACTTCTGAGCCAGACTGGGTCAATCAGCCTGTACAAGCTGATCCCCTTATGTGTCTCAAACTCAATACATCCCAATCTTTTGCCTTAACTGTCCTAGTGGTGATAGCCTCTTGATGAGCAGACTCCACAGTATTCTTGGGCTTTACAGGGATCTTTGGCTTAGGTAAAAGAAGTGTTGCTGCAGAGCAAGTGGGGAAGGGGAAATAGAGAAGGAAATATACACCCAGTTACCACCAGTTTGACTATAAAAGTTATTTACTGCTAAATATATGAAATTTGTGATGGTACTAGTAGTAATAGACATGCAAGGAAAAACAAACAAAGACAATTACGATATTGCCCTGGTTCAGTTGAGTGTTTGGGGAAACCTAGCTCAAGCTTAATTAATAAAATTCAGATTCAGAAAACTATGCCTAGAGAGAAAAAGAGAGAGAGAGAGAGAGCTGGGATCTCACCGTTGCAGGGCACTCGGGTGTTTCATTGACAGGCAATGTTCCCAGCACGATTGTTGAAGGTTAAACCAGCAACCAAAAGAAATGATTCGTTTCTTTCAGCTTCTCGAGAACAACAGCGGACGGTGTCAAAGAGATTTCTCCCTCTTGAAGCACGCTGTTTGCCTCTTTACAGCTTTCTTATACCCTTAGTCCAGCCTCTTCAAAGCATTCTTTAAATTGTGTACATCAAGAGGGTCCCAAGCCATCATTGACATGGAAAATCCTGTTATAGAAACAGTTTCAATTTAAATGAATTACCTTTTTCAGTGACAAGGTTTGGAACATCTCATCTGTTCTGGAACAGCTCAAGAAACTGGTTAACAACCAGGAAAAACATAAAGTTTTAAGGAGTAACCAGACACCTAGGAGCCAGCTTGAAATTATTATGATTATAGAAGATATACTAGAAGGGATACCACATTGTTTCTTCTCAGATGGCCTAGCTATGCTTGCACTGTGAAGTCAGCATCAGTGTTTTGTATTTTACCTGTTGTGAATAAGCCTCAGCTTAGCATGACTTTTAGATCTTACTGTAATCTTTTAACAGATTTAAGGGGCTTGATTACTTGGATTTTTCATAAACTTTGTGGGGAGGACTTCCACCAGTGATCCCAGGAAAAGTATGACAGCATTTGTGGTCAGGGCTCGAATGGGCTGAATGTTGTGATGAACACTCAACCATTGTTCAAATGTTGCCTGTACCCGCTCTGACTCAGTCTCTAACCCAGCAACCGAGTTTTAGTCAATCAAGTTTAAATAGGCCTCTCATACTGGGACCAGGAAATGTACAGTCCAAGATGCCTATTAAACTTTTCTTCTGCTTAGTTCTGGTTAGATGAAGTGTGTGTGGTGGGGGGGAATTAAAAAAGTCCTTTTTCAGTCCAGCAAGCTGGGTGCCAGGGCTCCTTCAGGAACACGGAGCTGACAAGTAACAAAGGGATGTGGCACTGCAGTGCATGCCAGCTTCCTGGCAAGCAGCAGAAACAGCAGCTGATTTATCACCAGTGTATTTTATTCCTGTCTCATTTTATAGACTCCTGCAACTCCAGGTGATGCCTTTATCCCATCTTCATCCCAATCACTTCCTGGTAGTACAGACATGTTTGGTTCTGTACCGTTCAGCACTGCTGCCGTACCCTCAGGTAAGACAACTGTAGAATTATTTCAAGAGAGATTTTTGCAGTCGTTTATTTTGCAAGTATCCATTTGACAAAGCCATGTGTCCTTTTCTGGCTTGTATCTCAATATCCAAAACATAAGGGATAAAAAAAATGTTCTACTACAGAAACGTGTCTGTTCTAACAGAATTACAAAGAGTCCACAGTAAAGTGCTGCCGAACAAAGACAATCCAGTTATGTACCAGACGGAGACTGCATGCAGACTTTGCTAAAATTCTTCTTAGGATTTAAAAAAAAGAGAGCTGGGTCTTAAATGAAAGTTCAAATATATTATTTAAATACTTATGAGATATTATAGCAGGAGGATATTTACTGGTAGCTTTGAATTTGCAGTACTAACAAGGGATAGTCTGGACTACATCTAGCCAATAGGGGCAGGGTGTGAGACATTAAGAATGAGTGTGCATGTGGATGTGGGTAGGTGTTAATTTCGTAATATTTTAGCCACACTTTCCCATCTTCCTCCAAAGAGGCAGAACTGCCAGGGTCTGCCCCAGGGAGGAGAGGCAGCAGGGGCTGGGTCAGCTGTAGAAGCAATGCCAGTTGGATTAGCAGTGAGGGTGGCTTACCCATCCTAGACGCTATCTAAGTAGGCACCTGAGACTTATGTCCAGTGGCTCACCCTTCATTAAGCTACTGTTCCTTGGTTCTCAAAATTCAGAAACTATGGAATGATCTACTTTCAGGCACAGGACACGTTGGTTTGATTCCTGGTCTCCCCATCTCTTTCTTTCGGGGCTGCAAGAGTTTAAACCACTGCAGAAGCATCTCATTCTTACCCATTTGGGAAGGAGAAAAAGGGAGTGCTTTGAATCATGCAGCAGCAACTTTCAAAATGCTCAGCCCTTTCACTCTTTTGTACTGCAGCATCTGTCTCTAAGTGGTACATGGTGAATAGCCTTTCACTCTGCCAGTGGTCGTGTTTAAGTTGACACTTGAAAGTAACATGCTTCATACTTGCCCTTGCATGTCAGGTGTTTATAAACAAAAAAAATTGCTATACTTTGTAAAACCATCCTGTGTCCCTCAGCAAGAAATATTGTGGGAGCAGGGCTAGGCTTTATGGTTATGGTCATTGCCCTGACAAGGTTGTGCAATACCTTCCATCACAAAAAAAGAAAATCCATAACCACATATTTAAGTACATGTGTAGCTGTGTTGTATTTCCTTTCATTGCTCTCAGCTAAATGATTTCAAGATCAGTTGTATGTGGTTTTTACCTGGCTGTCATACCCCTTTAGAGTTTGCACTACCATAAATCTAGAAATAAACAAAAACATACAGAGTAAGAGTAGGTTTCTTTTATGCCATGACAACAGAAAAAAGAGAAGCGAAATGCTACAATATAAAATATTAACAGTAAATTAACATTGTTAATGTAGCACTTGGGTCTCGTATTAATATATCATATTTTGTATTCATAAAGCATAAGTGCGTTGGTTTCTTCTTTAATGGAGATTTGCAGGGCAGAGGTTTAGAAATCTTTTCTTACATACAAAGTTGAAAGCTGCTTTCAATTAATCTTTTCCCTTACAATTGTCAATGACATCAGGTCTGATCCTAGAATCCTTATTCAGTCAAAACCTTCATTAGTTTGAAAAGAAAGTTGGATCTGAAAACAAGTCAAATCAAAGCTTAAATAATTTATTTACTTGTGTTTTTTAATCTTCAACTCTTTAACTGGGTTTTCATTACAAGTTTTCCCTAAAGCAGAATTTGGCATACAAAGCACAGCATTACAGACCTTTACTTTTCCAGGTCGTAATCAGTTTGAAATCAATTCCATGGTTCCTTAACCACTTTAGGGTGCTGCTGTAATTGGTAGTAGAAGGCAGGGGAGATTTGTACCTTATAGGCTAACAAAAAAGGTAGATATGTAATCACAAGATTTCGTGAGCTTTGGAAGTGCTGTAATAAGACATGCATAGAGCAGTATTTTTTTTCATCTGATGAAGTGAACCTGGGCTCATGAAAGCTTGCCCCGCCCCCAAACACACACATCATATTTATTTAAAAATGTCGACCCTGATAAATTAGAGTCTATATATAGACAATTTATAAATTTGTTTAATTTTCCAGGTATCAAATCTAATTATTGGAGGGTTCTCTTAAAATTGTCCTCCCCACAGCAGGGAAAGCAGTGGCTGGGGTGGGGGGCATGTCAAGTGGCTCCCTTACCCTCAACCCCCCACTTCTTCCCCTTACAGCCTTCCTATCCCCTCTCTGCCATCAGCACCCCCACCAACTGCCCACAACCTCTGCCTGTCCTCTCCCATGCCCCACAGTTTCTGCGCCTTCCCACCACTCCCCAGTCTTTGACCCTTTCCCCCCACAACATGAGTGTCACATGCTGGTGGGTTTTTTTCCCTCCCAAAGCAGAGCATGTGGAAGCACTTGCCCTGCTGGCCATGCAGTAATGTCAGTGCTGCTGTTTGGCTGGGCAGGAGCCATGCAGCAGTGGCAATGCTGGTTGTTCAAGCAAAGGACAGAGTTCCCATGTGCTTGGTGCCCAGGAGAGAACCCAGCCTGAGACAGAGCTGAACTGTGCTTGACAGTAATGGGAGGAAGCAAAGGGAGCAGGGGCAGAAGCTGCAAGAGGACAACTGGAGGTGGAGGTAGGAGGCTGCTATGGGTCTGACTTGGGCTCAAGGCCAGAGTCAGAGCCGCAGCAGGCACCTACCCCCTCCAGCTTTGTACACAAATCTAAAACAAAGGGCTTTTCCCCCCATGCTGATACATTTGGGGGGTGGGGGGGAGCCTGATCTTAGATTCAAGTAAATATGGTATTTATTTGGGTATTCTACAAGGTACAAATCTACCCTGCCTTCTAGTTGACTTCAGGCTAACATGGCTAACTATGTCTTTGCACAAAATTGTAGAGGTCAAACCTGCTTTTCCAGGTCCATTTGGCTATGTTATAACATGTACATGTGCATAGGCAATGCACAAGGGGTACAAGGGGCATGTGTCCCCCCAGATTCCTGTGCTGATGGTGAGGTGCAGAGTTGCAGCTCGATTGGAGCTGGGGCCCAGCAGTAGCAGGGATGGTGGTGGCACAATTTCTGCAGTAATGGCAGGGTGCGGGGCTGCAGCCCGGCTGGTGCCAACACCCATCAGCAGCACGGCAGTGGCAACGGGATGGAGTTGTGGCCCCCACTGTCAACTCTTACATGTCAGCTGTATTTTCATAGATTTCATAGACATTAGGGCTGGAAGG